CCTATATAAAGAGTCTATGGTGGGCTCTGCAGGGTCACTCTCAGGTGAGCTGTTTGGGATCTCAGGTGGGCTCTGCAAGGGACGTAACTAGAAATCATAGGGCCCATAAAATTTTTTGCTATGGGGCCCTGTGATTTCTTGTTACGCCCCTGTACAGCATATTCACATATGGAGATCACAATAGCATATCTGTCCCCATATTCACTTACTTTTAGGTATTGTATTACAATCCAAGGAAATTATCCTCTATTGAAAACTCAGTAGGAGACCCTGCCTCCCCAACAAAGAACCCTCAGGCACAGGGAAAGATTAGATAACTGGAGAAGTACACCTTCAATATCTAAACGTAACACATTCACGTCAGTATGGAGTTGTAATCAAATAGTTACATAGTATTTGAGGTTGAATAAAGTCATAAGTCCATCAAGTCCAACCTATTGCGCGTGTGCATTTATGTTTGAGCAGGTGTGTGCATGTGTTTTAGTCCATGTGCGATTTTGCTCCTAGGCGTACCTGTACCCTTGTATGTTATGGTCTACAAGGAACGCGTCCAAGAGTTTCTTGAATGATTCCACACTCTTAGCTGCGATCACTTCCTGCGGCAGCGAGTTCCAGACCTTAACCGCTCTAAATGTGAAGAACCAATTTTTGGTTGTGCCCTCTGGTCTTTGTTACGGAGCTGACCGTAAACAGTTTGTTAATAATGTTGCTGTCGCCCTTGAATAGTTTATACAGGAGAATCATGTCGCCCCTTACTCTCCCTCCAAAGAGATCATATTTAATTTTAACAACCTCGTTTCATAGTTCAGGTCCTCGAACCCCTTTATAATTCCCTCTAACAGTTTACATACTATGCATGTCAGACTAACTGGTCTATAGTTCCCCGGTTGGCATTTTGACCCTTTTTTGAATATAGGTACCACATTAGCCCTTCGCCAATCGCTTGGCACTCTACCAGCCATTATGGACTCCTTAAAAATGAGAAAGAATGGTCTCGTTATCTCCTTGTTCAGTTCCTTAAGTACCTTGGGATGTAGATTATCAGGTCCTAATGCTTTATTTGCATTTAGTAGTTTAAGCCTATGTTGTATTCCAGTTTCAGTCAACCACTCAGGTGTATTTCTTGTTAAATTTTGTGTTTTATCCTGTACATTAAACCCGTCTGTTTCCTTGGTGAATACCGACGAGAAGAAAGTATTTAGCGCCTCGGCCCTCTCCCTGTCGTTTGTGAGTAACGTCCCATTTATGTCCTTTATTGGGCCTATCTGTTCCTTTCTCCCCTTTTTACTATTTATATACTGATAAAAAATGCTGGGGTTCTTTTTACTAACTTTGGCGATATATATTTCTCACCTTCAATTTTAGCTGCCCGGACTATCAGTTTACATCTTTTATTACATTCTTTGTAGTTTTGGAATGCCAATACTGTCCCCTCCGTTTTATACTTACTAAATGCTACTTTTTTTTTCATTAATGTGTTGTTTTACCGTTTTGTTTAGCCATATTGGTTTTGTTTTTGATCTTCTACTTTTGTTACCCAGCGGTATACACCTGGTAATAGCATTTTTTAATTTGTTCTTGAAACAGTCCCACTTTTGGTCAAAGTTTAGTTTATCAAATAAGTTTTCCCATTCTATTTCACCCACTATGTTGCATAGTTTATCAAAGTTAGCCTTCCTGAAGTTTAGGCTTCTCGTACGCCCATCCCCCTTCCCTTTCTTGCACCCAATATTAAAGGCAATCACCTTGTGATCACTATTACCCAATGCCTCCCCGATTACAATATCCTCAATTAACTCTGTATTATTGCTGATGATCAGATCTAGAATGGCATTCTCCCTAGTCGGGACCTCGATCATCTGATCCATGACATTGTCTCGCAACATATTAAGAAAGCGGGCAGCCTTTGCCGATTGGGAAGTTCCATTAGCCCAGTTGATGCTTGAGTAATTGAAATCCCCCATTACCACAACATTACCCTGTTTCCCCGCTATTTCTATTTGGGATTTTAGGTTGGCCTCCTCCTCTTCCCCTATATTTGGGGGTTTATAACAGACACCCACAATAAGTTTACGGCTAAATAGTATGTTAGCTTATTTTTCGCAATAGATTAGATTGAGCTGAAGCTCACCTTATCAGGACAGGAAACTAGTGTTCCCAGGAAGCCATCTAATTCCCCTGTGTAACTTGGTTGAATAACACTGCAACACAATGTTGCCATCACTATCAAAATTCCAAGGAAAATTGTAGTTAGATAGCTCCAAATTATGTGGAAAGATGGTAGTCCACTAACCTGACATATATGTTTCCTTATCCGCAGCGCACATGGAATTCCCGCCCAACACTGCAGATAACGCCTATTTGCAGAGGTGGGCCTGGAGCGGCCCCTATCACTCGCCCCTATGTTAATCCGGCCCTGCTTGGGGCATGTGCACTAAGTACCAGTCTTGGAACTGGCATCTTCTGTTCCAAAACTCTGGTACCAATACTTGGTCTTCATACCTATACCCTGCCACAGTACCCCTCAGTTCTTCCACGTCTACCACAATAAGCTGTAATGCTAATAAAATAGGTCCTTTTTTAACTTTTTTAAAGAAAATTCAGAACCTTGGAGACATTTGGTTCTCAGAATAATACATTTCTACTTGAAAATCAATGATACAGAAATCATAGCATGAAAAGCTTGCCAGAAAAGACTCTTGATAGTTAAAACTTTGAAACACAAGGAAGAAACCTTCCTCCTCGCCATGCTTGGCTTTTCTTTGCATTTCCCAGGAGCTTCATGAGTCTTCTACTGACATAGAAAAAATTATTTGAATTGCCTGATGGATGTGCCGCTTGTGTTAGGCATTGATCCGTACGAATTTCTGCAATATAAAAGATCAATATTGTAAATCATTATTTATGTTTAATTAAGTCTTCGGAACTTTGCCTCTTGTCTTTGAAGTTTCTTTCGCTTGTAGGACAGAAATAGCTTTGAACATTTCGCAAACAGTTTCATTCATGGTTTCAGAGATCTTTGACGCTAATGTGATTGAGCAACTGGTGTCATTCTATTTAGCAGTGAGCTACATTATTCTGACTTTTTTTTCCTGTTTTGCAAAATCAACTTGTTCAGAATTCTGTTTCCATTTGTTTGATCCATGTGGCACAAAATTCATAACATTTTCAAATGGAGTAACTCCATTCTTAATGAATAGTGGGGGTAACTGCTCTCTTTTTAAAGGGAAACTATAAAGATATAGGTTCAATTTTATTTGTAATATGTTTTATTTGGACGATTTTAAATTGTTCCATAGTGAATCTGTTTTATGTATATAAAAATTGCTGCATTACAATTAAACATTTAATACATGCTGCACCCATTACATCATTTTTGCAGAATATTATTTGTTTTCTTAAGAGATAGCACTAGTTTAAGACATTTTGACTTCATTTGGCCCATCTGAACACAGCAGACAGGATTGGGAAATATATTGAACTTGAGATGGTAATTAAAGCGGACCTTTACACTCAAAAATCAAATTCTACCAATGTATTTGTTTATTTCAGGTATTTATATAGCGCTGACAATTTACGCAGCACTTTACATAGTTGCTCTTTCACATCAGTCCCTACACTCAAGTAGCTTACAATTTAAGGTCCCTATCTAACATACATATAGGGGGCCATCTTAGAGAGGAGCCAATTAACCTACCAGCATGTCTTTGGAGTATCCGTATATGTATGATGATTGATAATAACCTAGACATGTCAGGTGTAAAATGCTGTGATTATTAAATACTTACACTTGCAGAGCATTCACTTCCTGCTTTGAAAGGGCAAAATTACTTCAGTTTTGCAAAGCAATGCACACTGGTATTGCCTTGTCATCAGCAGAGCATTGCTGGGAAGTCTCAACTGTAATCTCATGAGATCTCGGGTAAAGGCATTTTCCTCCCCCTGAGATGTTGTGCATGGTCACATGTCCTGGTCACATGTCTAGTCACATGTGCCAGAAATCCAGGAAGTGAAAGGAGGGCTAGTAATCTGCCCTTACTTAACATGGCCACTGTCAGAAGAATGGGAAAGAAAAGAGAAATAAGGAATGCAAAGAATACAAAGCCGGCAATTATCTAGAAGGATGTGTTTGTAGATTGTCATTAGTAAACATTTCTAAAGGTGTGCTTGTTATTTTAAAGATATGGGTAAAGGTCCGCTTTAACCAAATACTTTCTGCAAGCATCCTAAGGAAAAGACTTCAAAACCCCATTCCTTTTATAGGGCCCATGTGGCATATGTAAATACCACACGACCATGCACCACCAAGAAAGGAGTTACAGGCTACTACTACTACCAGGCTGATAGGTGCCCACCTTCCAAACATCATTGTAGGGATGTCTCTGTGCAATTATCAAACCCCCTGCTGTATGAGGACATCCTTAAGATGACATTGAAGGCCATCAACTCACAGCACAGTAATGGAGAAACATTGGAGTGTGCCAAGAAAACTTGATTAGGTGTTTAGACCAATGTAGTTTTGAATTTCTACTTTTGCTGCAGTGTTCATTATCCAGTACGCATGAGACACTCCACTCAAGCATGATGCCATTATATACTCTAGGTGGTGCACAGTGAAGAGTCTTCTTCAACAAAAAAAATAATAACCAACATCAGGCCATTCAAAACTGCATTTCTGAGCTTTATTAAGCAAAATGCATTAAAAGAGGTCTGGTGTGTTTCAAGCTTGTGGGTGAAAAGTCATTGCCTACTAATCCAAAATAAGAAAATTCAGTTGCAAATTACTTCCCTTGACAAACTCATTCGTTAAGCAATTCCATAAAGTGTAGAAATCCTCAGACTCCTGGGATTAAAGTGTCAAGAATTTAAAGTTGTAGCTAAGGACCTATCCAGACAAGGCCTACAAAAGCTGGTTCCATTAATTCTACAACTTTTGTTAGATTTTAAGTCTTTCTGCCAAAATAACTATAACAAATTTGTTTGTTTTAATTTCCTTGCAGATGTTCCATCGTGTAAGAAAGACAAGCTGTCAATTAACTTCTGCAATACTGTGAAATCTATCGGGAAGTGTTCGTTGAAAGCCATTCAGTCTCAGTGCTGCTTCACATGTACCAGACCAGAAGAGTCTATACAAGGAGGCTGAGTTATCAATCTGTCTCATCGGAGTGGTTCATTCTCCATCTACTGCAATAAATAAATTGAAAGTATTACATTCTGCAACAAAACAATATATCCCCTGCTGAAAAACAGAACCAAGTTACCTAATTCTCAGCACAGGACCTGAACTCATTCGTTGTGAACCAGCTGGACCTTAGCCCCAGGTTTTCTTTTCAAAAAATAGAGATGTTATTTAATAGTTTGGTGAGGAGAAACCACCCGGGGTTCTTTAAAAGCATAGCAGTGCCTGTGAATCAACACAGAGGAACAGAATTCCTAAGTATTTCAACTGCGATGGCCAAGAAATATGAACAGCTCAATGGTGCACCAGACTCTGGGGTAAATGTGTCAGATTTGGCACTAAGCAAAAACACAAAATAAGAGCAGTATAACAGTGTAACTAATCATCCATGCTCAGAGGTGTATGTTTAAAAGCCAATAATACAAAATCAGTTAAATACATTAAATAAAAAATCTTATGGTGCCCCACGTGCAACACAGCAATATAATTAAATTTTATAGAATGGAGGACCATAGAGGTCCCAAATCAAATAAATATGAACGCAGGCCATACTTTTAATACTTTTAACATCTTGAAAAAAACAGATCCCATCATCATCAAAAACAGTAATGAGTGCACCAGATCAAGTCTTTTTCTGGTGTAGCGATAAGATGTCCTAGGAAGACACCAATTACTGCAGCCTATATAAAACACAACCACACCTCAGCTTATAGGGGTTCAGGATCCACAGCTGAATGTGGAAGTGCGAACATCTCCATCGCCAAATGTGGACTATAGAATATGATTTCTCATGTGATAAAACCAACATTATTAGGAAAAGGCTCATAATGGTCAATCTAAATTCTATTCTATCCCTTACCAGCAAGGAGTAAAATGTCACTCCCATGATTTTCATAACTATAGTGACATCACAATATGATTTTCCTTATCACAATGCCAGTTGTGATGAAAAAAAGATGTGGTTCATAAAACCTAAGCCACAAAGAGTCCTGTGACTCCACTGCAATCTTACAGCTTACTTAGTATTTTCAGAGCTGCCTAAAGTGGAACTTGACCCACCAATTTAACTGTCTCCCAAAACAGTTATTTTTAAGGCATTGCAACTATCAAGGTTGCCAGTGTGCTTATTTCAGCTCTCAACCGAACATTCAAGCCCTCAAATGGCTGGTATCATAGCTGATCACATGTGCAGCACCATGGCAGTTGCAATCCAAATAGAGGCTAAGATTGCACCCTCCTTGGCTCTAAGGCCTCCTTCACACCAGACACAGTGCGTGCTGGCCTGCTTTTGGCCGCTACACACTACATCACACTGCGACCGGGCTCACTATGTTGTTGGGCAGGAGGGGGCGTGGTGGTCCATTGAAGTGAATGGCACCATAGCCACTCCATCCGGCCGCAATGCGATCAGCCGCACATGAATGCAAGGCACACAATGCCTGTGGTCCGGTCCGACCAAAATAGTGCTTGCAGCATTTTGTTCGGACCGGACCGCAGGCATTGTATGCCTTGTGTTCCCGCTGATCGCATTGCAGCTGGAGGGTGTTGCTATTGTGCCATTCACCTCAATGACCCGCCACGCCCCCTCCTGCCCCACAACATAGTGAGCAGTCCGCAATGCGATGCAGTATGTTCTGGCCAGAATCGGGCTGGAACGCACTGTGTCTGGTGTGAACAAGGCTTTAAGAATATAAGGGTGTGGTTCCACTTTAAGGACCATGAATGGTCATCACAGAACAGACGCTCATTCCGGAATACCCATTGTATGATAAATGAAAAATACAAAAAATAATCTCAATTTAGGAACTCAAAGAGTGTAAGAGATTATCCATACTCAGAAATATGTGTTTAAAACTCAATAATACAAAAGCTCAATAAGATAAAAAAAATATTTTTGTAAAATCATTCTTCTGGGGCCCAACTGTAAACACAGTTATTTAGGGACATTTTGAATGATGGAGGATCACACAGCTCCCATATCAAGTAGATAACACAGATCATAATCAGTACTTTTAGTGCTCTTCAGTAACTGTATTGATTTGAACTAAGCATTTGGCAACAGTCAGAATTGCTTCTGTATTATTAACCTTTAAACATACACTTCTGGGTATGAATAATGTGTTACATTGTTGAGCTCCCCAAACTGAATTGTATTTGTTGTATATTTCAGTAACTGTATAATTGAGTTTTTTTTGCTCCAGAAAACCCTATTTAAAAGTCTTATGGTAAATTTTCTGCTGCCGTTGGTCACATTTTCAAAGACATTTCATCTATAATGGGGAATTTCCTCTCACTATGTAGATGTCAAATGCAAGGTGGTTTAGCAATAGTCCTCCTCATCTAGGCAACTTAATATGTGCAAATGCTATGAAGTCAATCCTGTCCAGAATATCGATTGATGATTGGTCTGAGAGGGTTCACATCTATGCTACATAGCAGTGGTCTAAGCTCTTAGGAGGAAGAGGGGGGCAAGACTCTGAATAGCCAATAACTATGAATTAATGGGCTAAAGCTACCTAATAAGCAAGACTGTAGGAGAACCCAGGTTATACAACATGTGTTAGTATGTTTAGATAGAATGTGGAAGGGTTATTGTTGTCTGTGTCCCCATAGTGAAGGTAGAAACCCTCAAAATCCCAATGACCATGGTCTTTGATACAGAAAGTGATGGGAAATCCCGAATGTTTTATTTTTATAGGAACAGGAGCCAAGGGGGTATGTTCTACTGGGAACACCTGTTCTGGAAACATCTCTTTGAGAGGAGGAAACCCCCTTGCTTTGGAGTGATTCCCTTTTGCTTTCAGTTGTATCTCTGGGATAGGAAGTCAAGGGAAATCTCCCCACGTTCTTCAAGAGAGAAGGCGAAGGACATCCAGCAGACTTTACCTGTGTTGATTAGTAGATTCATACACATGTGTGGAGCAGATAACGTGTCATTGAAGCTCAGGTTTTTGAATTCTCAGGTTCTTTACTAACATCAGATGCTATTGGGATGCTGCCTATAATAACACCTCCACTTTTATCTCACAAAGAGGATTGAATGGGAAGGAGGGGATCTGACTAACATGTGTAAACTAGACACCCCTACCACTGTCCTTCTCATTTCCCCGATCCACTCTTTGTAATCCAAATTATCTACTTCTAGGACTTGTGGTTAGCTTTTGTTTCTACCCAAGGGGCCAGTCCTCAGTACTGGGGAGATTCAATCCTGGAAGTGGACTTGTGGTCAGTGGATTGGGAGATTCCTCTTAATGAGGGTGAATGCAGTTTATAAAGTCAACTCATTGGTACCAGATCCCCCATTCCTGTTTTAATTTAAATGGGAGATTCTTTAAAGTACACCTGCAATGTAACACCAGACTTAATGGTATGATAGTAGGGGATAGGAGAAGTATGCATTTCTTGAAATGATATATCCACAACCTAACCTCCTTTTAGTTCCGGTGCAGTTGTATTGGAATGGTGGTAGCAGTAGTTGCAGTTGTAACTGGGTCCCAGGCAGACCCATAGGCTATACTGAAGACATGCATCGGCCATACCCAAGCACCCTCTTCATCACTTTAAGCAAGTTCCCTTCTACCAGAAGTCAGGGGACATGCTGTGCATGATTGAAGGGGTTAGGTGTGGAGGAAAGTTATGAAGGTTGAAGGTTTTTAGGTACAAGGGTTAATTGGGTGGGTGGGTGTGCAAGGGGAAATATAGGGTTTGGGGATGTTAAGTCTGGAGCGCAGGTGGGTACAGGATTAACATGTAGCGGCCCTGAGTTGAGTCATATGTTGCAAATGTGAGGTGGGGCAAGCTGCACCACTGTTAGTATAGAAACATGCAAATGTGGTGCCATAATTAGTACAAATAGTGAGTCTCTACATTACCAACCAATGGTGAATGTAAGCCTTCATAACTGAACAGTTAGATGGTCACTGCCTATCTTCCCTACCTTCCTTCTTTGCTGTGTGTTTGTTGGAAAATTACAGGTGTCCTTTAAAGATGTGGAAATATGCTATTTCCAACTTTCACCAATATAAAACCACCATTGTCTCTTATACTATTCATTATTTGTACTTGTAGATGACATAGCATTTGTGTAACCTGTTTTCATACATTGTGCTTTTGTACATAAGAGGTGCTACTTGCTCATGTTGCTACTCATCGTATAACCAATATCACTGTGACATCATCTATGTCTGTCTTCCAGTTAAATACCTTAGCTTGTAAGTAGAGATGAGTGACATTTCTAGAATCCACTTCAATGAAGTTCACCTTATCTGATCATGTGATCTGATTAACAGATATGCCAATCTGACTATTGAAATGTTTTGAGGAGTTATGCGCTGCCGTTCCTACCACCTCCCTGGAAAAACTGGTAAAGCGGTCAACAAGACCCCTATCCCATTCACCCCAACGTATCTTAAAGTATCTGCAAAGCCCAAAATGTTTAAAAATCTTTGGATAGACTAGAAGTTAGTGCTGTCTGTGCCCCCGTAAAAGAGCTCCAACCTCTCTATTTGTCCAAGGGACCACTGTCTTTATACAGAAAGTAATGGAAATTAACAATTTTACAGATGTCCAAAGAACAGGAGGTGAGGCGAATGAGGACACCGGTATTGGTGACTTTGAAGAGTTTTCCTCTTGTGCCTCCCAGACAAAAAGTGAAGTCAAGTTTCCCTGACAGGCGTAAAAAAAAAAAAAACAAGCAAAGTTCCAAAATCTTTTCCTACAGTATTCAGAACTAAAAGTTTTGGGTTTACATACACTATAAGTAAACAAAATGTAATGAATACATCATTTTAAATAAAACAAATGCCCCCATTCCACACTGATGTAAAAAAGGGAGAAAGGTAATCCGTAATTGATGTTGGGCCTTATTTTCTTTTAAAAGTCATGATTTTACCCACGGGGTTCCAAAGCCGGAATGAAGCGGTAGAGATAAAACTTTATCATAGAACCAGAAGCATAGGATTCCCAGAAATCTCCATACTCCACTTTCTATGCCATTGTAATTTCATTCTCGGAGCCAGTGACTGGAAATACTATGACAAGAGATAACGATGCCTTCCAGATCACCTGGGATA